GTTTAGGGTTTAGGGGCCTTAGTGATTAGAATTGGGTTTAGGGTTTAGGGTTTAGGGTTTAGGGTTTAGGGTTTAGGGGCCTTAATGATTAGAATAGGGTTTAGGGTTTAGGGTTTAGGGATTAGGGTTTAGGGGCCTTAGTGATTAGATTAGGGTTTAGGGTTTAGGGTTTAGGGTTTATTTAGGGGCCTTAATGATTAGGCTAGGGTTTAGGGCTTAGGTTTTAGGGGCCTTAATGATTCGACTAGGGTTTAGGGTTTACGGTGTATGGGGGCCTTAAGATGTTTAATAGGGTTTTGGGGACCACTATGCCACCATTATAATAAGGAGCTACCACAATACTAGAGATAACTATTGAGGCCCCTATATTGCTTCTCCAGTATCCTAGGGCAGCTAAGGTTAAGCTTTGGGATACTGTAGCGCCGTAGGGAATACAGGAGTTAAAGGTCACCTGCTCTACTAGCAAGTCCTCTTAGCACGCAGATGGTGCTTCAGAGCCCTCACGTCGCCCAGCTCTTCCGCAGGTACGGTGATAAGCTCTTCCCCAGATACCATCCAAACATGGAGCATTTCGGGCACAAGGCGGACCAACAAGGAGAACAGTCAGGTCCCAGGCCCTGCATATTTTAGGGACAGAAACGCTCACTCAAGCAGGACCCATGTAACAACTAGGATTTAGGATGCCGGGTGTCGGACTTGGGGTTAGGGTTTCAGGGTTTTAGGTTGGTGTTGAGAAAAGGTTGGCAAAAGCCAGGTTGCATCTACCCTTCTCCTTGAGAGAAACAGGCAACTTGCCGGCACGGATTCGATATCAAGGCTGTCGTTAGGCAGTTAAACCAACATACTTGGAGGATCTGACTCCCTAAGACTCCAAAAAGCCCAAAGAGGGTAACAATTATAGACTTTAGACCCCAGAGAAGAAAGTACTGTTACTGTTGGTATATTTAGAGTCTGCGGGACTTAGTGATCATGAAGAAGCTTGGGGCTATCTCGCAATTTCCCCACACGCACTGTAGTATTTCTCAATCTCCCCCTGCATCTGGCGTATCTCTTTACGAAGCTGTTATGCTTTCAGGGTTCAGGATTTAGAACTTACGTCAGCTCTGCATCGACATGTTCGGGTTGTTTCCGAGCCAAATGCCCTGGTATGTCGGTAGGGAGCCACTGGATTCTAAAGTCAATCAATCAGACCCCTTATTCTAAAAGCCCTGACAAGTAAATCCGTCCCCTTGAATTAGGGTCTAATAAGGATCCTGGTACACAGGCTTTTAGCAAAAGCTATTGCTGAACGGTCTACATTACCTTGAAGACCATAGGAAGCACAAAAGAGTCACGGGTTCAAGTCCCAGATAAAGTCGTTCTAGTGTAAAGTTAGACGGGCTACCCTTGCTTCTAAAGCCTGTTTCTTTCTTTCCTTTTTTGTAACTATCAGATAAGAATGAGGTTGCAGGGTCTATGGCTGAGGCTGGGGGAAAACTAGCAGGCTCATGTAGAATGCCATCGTGGGATACAGTCCACGATCCCATGATGGCCTTTGGTCGGGGACGTCGGTCCTTTTCGGCGAAATCTATGCCACCAGGTACAGTTAATCATAGGAATCAGGCTCCCCAAACCAGAGTAACAATGATCTGCGGTGGCCTGACTCCACAATCACTATCGCAGTCACGCTAGAGCATATACAAACCTCAAAAATAGTTGGAAACGCGGATTAAGGACAACTAGTGCTGGGATTCCCTATAGATTACTCTTAAAGACTCTTGAGGATTGAGGCTATTGGGCTTCCCCGTCTTGGGCATGGACACACTTCGTATGGGTTTTCTGGAGATTCATGGAGCTTGATGCTTGGCATGCAGGATTGAAACCCTAAACCCGAAACCCTACACCGCACGAGGCCCCTTTTGTAGGGCGTCGGGCCTCTGTTCAGTTAAGGCCTGAGGTGAAGGGATGCTACTATGGAAAACTGTTCAAAGATTTGGGGTTTAGGGTGTAGGGTTCAAGGGTGAGAGCACCGGAAATATCCTTGAGGTGCTAGCAGCAACAGCACAAGACTGGTTATGATCTTCATCGGCACTTGGAAGACTTCAGTTTCAAATTTTTTCGAAGACAAGCTTATCTAGGCTGCAGTTCCCTCTGGTCCCCGTTCGGAATGCCTAATTGTCTTCACCCCTATCCAATATGCATCTTCTACAAACAGTATGTCATCGGTTACCATTTTTGCTACTATGCAAGACACAACTGCTATGGACCATACTATATACTCTAGCTGTTCTTGTCATGCCACATGGTATATTATATCATCTTAAGTCTGACGGTGTCACAATCTTCTTTCCAAGCCCTGAAAGCCTAAAACCTACAACCCGAGACCCTAACTCTCGCCTGCCTCCCAAACACGACTCCCCTGTGGACAGTAAGCAAAAACTGCAAGTTTTTCAGAGATCTGTATGAAGACACCATACACCAAAAAAGGAACAAACCCCAAGAATGTAAAACCTCGAGGCAGCTACGCGAGAGCGAGCGAAGAGGTTTGGAATTCCCACGAGTGCCTGCGTTTTTTTCAGGGTTTCGCTTAGGGTTTAGGGTTCAGGGTTCTGCGGGGGTTGTAGCATGCTTTTGTAGAATTTGATCAGTTTGAAAGTTGGACAAGGGTGTCTAATAATTGTTGTGGGGTTTTGTCAAGGCGCTGACTTCGTGTATCTGATTTGTAAAACTGTAGGAAGCAAGACTAACTGATTCATAAACTCTTGGAGGAGATCATAAACGGGGGGGGGGAGAAAAAGCTACAGTTTGTGTTGATGTCCTTCGCGCTCTCAGAGAATGTTTCCTAGGGTTGAATGCTTCAGCGAATCGGTTGAAACACACTTCAACCATCAAGCACATCTCGACACTATTGAGCCATGAGCTTTGCAAACCGGCTACAGTCTACACGCAAAGACGTGCACACAGAAGCCCTGAACCACACACCTATTCACGGTAAACAGTGGGGAGCTGTGTGCAGCGTGATGTACATAGGCATTTGCACACACAAGTAAACATTTTTGCGAGTGTTTATGTACCGTACCTGTATGTGTATATATATATATACACATATACACATGTATCTTGTATGTGTACATGTGTACCTATCGGTATACTTATACTTGCAATCATAAATATGTAAGCATGTCTATATATATATATATATATCGGTATATACCTACACATAAAAGGCATCTTCCACAACCTCAAGGAATCTCCCCACTGATTTTTTACGGCGAAGAGAGCAGTTTCGGTGCATGCGATTGGACGAGCATGTGAAACGCCCAGTATCGTCAAACCCCCCTTCCAAAACAAACTGCCTAAAATCCTCGATATACCTCTCATGTCTCCATGCGGGCCTGCTCGCGTTGACGAATCGTCGCGCGACTCACCTGTGGTCTCTTGCCGGCTTGGCTTAGGTGTTGAACTGGTTACTAACAAAAACATCACTCTAACATCCCACCTGTGACTACAATTACTTGTTGTTTACTCATAGCCCCGGGGCGTAAACCGACCTATTGTTTTTGTTTTGTAGAGCTCGGGGCTACAGGAAAGTCCTCAACCACGTCTTGTGCTGTCGAGCACTTTGAAGAGGCGTGGGATGCGGCCACAGCCAACGAGTCATTAGTCTCATTCTAGTGTTTCTCTAAATTAGGGTCCCCTTAGGGGTCCTGTTTATGAGGGTGCCGTACTATATTGGGGACCTAAAAGGGGCACTGATTTAGAGAACTGCCCATATCATAGATTCCCAGGAAAAATTATTACTCGGTAGGACTGGGGATTCGTGATTACAGAAACGCACGCGTGTCAGTCGAAAACCCAAGTATCGCCCTCAATAGTAACTCCCCAATGTAATGTAACGCAGATATATCCTTTGGCCCAAACCCTAAAATCTTAAACCCTAAAGCCGAAGCCCTGTAAAATACCGGAAAGGAGTTTCGAAAGCGATCCATCTGAAGAGCTCGTGCTTTATAGCCGCGGTGTCCGACATTTGGAGCAGGCACATGAAATCCAGAAGTCAACAAACAGAAGGGTCCTAGGTACGTTACTGGGAGTACTTTCCCAAATCATATCATGATTCCTAATATGGAAACCCTACATTCCACGAAATAGGTACGTACTTACGGCCCTTTGGCAAAATGACATCTCTTTTGGCTTGCAGGTTCAACTCTTGCGGTTTACGGGCTTAGGACTTTCGGGTTTAGGATTTGAGGATGAAGGCATAAAAATGGCAGGACGCGTATCCCCTGTAGCGGTCGGGCTTTAGGTTTAGGGCTGAATGCAGGGCTTGGTTTTGAAGGAAGGTTCAGGAGCTACCTGCAGGCTGTTGTCGAAGGCGACCAATGTACCCGGCATAAGTAAAGTATGCTCATCATTACGAGATGATTCCGTTTTGACACAGCCTTTGGCTCTTCTGGGCATGAACTGGAAGCTACCACCGTAAACTGCGACAAATCAGAGGGTAAAGCACGGCTGCGCACGACTACTGGTCGCAGGAACTCCCGGGACTAGGAGACGAAATCCATGCCAATGTGTAGGAGTTTCAGAACATTGTATAAAAATTGTATAGCGACCCTGATAAAGACGCTAAACGCAAGACTCTTAGCATAAACATGAGAAACCCCGAACCTATTAAACAAGCCCAATTAACAAGACATCGAAAATCCGAATACACCCACATAAGTAGGACTGTACCGAGCGCCTTTAACATGAGGTAACCACTTGGTTCAGCATCAGGCTCCCTGGCGCCATGAGAACCGAACTTCCCCGAAGGAATGCTAACCGCTGAACCTTTACAAAAGGTCCTACACCCCCAAACCCCCAAAACCTTAGGCCGGCTTTGGCCACAGGTGTAGGGACTCCCTGCCCCTTGCTGATGAGGAGAAAACTCAACCTTGTAAAAAGCTCGCTGATGATTCAGTCAACCCCCCTATGCCGTAAAAGCCCAACACCCAAAAGTGGCGCAAATCGCCACTCCCACCATGCGACCCGTGGGGACCGGACGACTGTCTGTTGTGGTGTCCGAATACGTGCGAAATACAAGGACCAATATCATGACTTGAGCAGCCTCCGTTTACTCTCGCAAGCTGTTGGTTGAAATCCTTCATTTCGCAGAGGGATCCACAAACGATGCTATTGCACAGTCCACTGAACTGGTGCTTTCCGAAAATCGGTGCCCCTTGCGGCTTAGGTCTGCGCATAAGAGGAATCGGAAATCAATAGGTTGGGTAAGCAGCGTTGGAGCTTGCAGGGCTCGTGATTTTCGAAAGCACTCATATAGCAAAAGGAGGCGGAAGGGAACAACTGCGTCGGTTTCTGTTGGACGCATGTTGTTGTTTAAAAGTCCTGTAGCTCGCTCAAACTGTACTCTGGGGTCTCAAGATTGGGTTGTCGGTGTCCTTTCATGTGGAAAGGCGGACGGAAGGCTCCCAATTTTGAGATGCTCTTGCGTAACAAACTCATGAAGGGTCTGTGTCTACACTCGGCGAAAACGGGCAACCTCCAGTCACCCGTTCACACGGCATGTTACATAATTCTAAGCTTGCAAACGAGCTCAGCAGCTTGCAACCTTGCGGACACTGACTCTCATCCCGACTCTCATGTCGACATCAGGTTGCACAGCATGCCCCTGCTTCTTGTCCCGGCCAGTCTCATCTAACTCTCCGAAAGGTTGGATCTCCGCCTCCTTTCGTTTCTTAAGCATCTGAAACTGCTTGTCCATCTTGAAGGAGCTCAGGATGTTTTCTAACTCCTGGGTGCTGAAGAGGCAATCCAGCTGACACGGCGGAACAACTGCTTGGTCCGACCAGACGATGCCTTAGGAGAGCGGAATGGTGCAGGGGCATCGGCCTGGTTTTACGGCCGGGACTTCTGACACAAGATCTATAAACGGAATGAAACCTCTTGATTCTTGCCTGGCGTCTCTTTCCGCAGCCGATGGGCTTGAGGTTGGAGATTGCCTCAGTCTTCTTGGTGCTCCTGACCTCTGGTTTCATCAAGAACTTGCCAGGTCGCAATTTCCCCTCAACTCTCTCCCACAGCAACCGATAGTAGGCTGTTGATGAAGCATCAATGTTGCTCGGACGCGCTCCACATGTCGTTGCACCATCACAACCTTCCACCTTGACCCACACTTCACGGCAGTGCTGGCAACGTCGAATCGCGTTGCGCCAGTCGTTGGTGTTGTCAGGGTTCACCAGCAAGTGCTTCTTGGCTTCGTTGCGGAAGTCCGAGTGCGCGCGGTGGATCAACTTCTGCAACTCGATGCTGGCAGCATAGTCGTCAAAGGCAATCTCATCCTCGCCGTTGCGATGCAGGAAAGGGCGGTACACATTTTCCTCCAACTCCATGCGGTTCTGCTGGATGATCGCATAAACATAATCCTGAAATTCCTGAGGCGAGACGTTTTGCTGAGTGGCAACCAAGTGTTGAAGTCCCTCCTCGAACTCTGCGCACAACTTTTCAATCTGCTTCTTCAGGCGATGCAAATCAAATTGCTCACGGCCCTTCCATGCTTTCAGGTCGAAGTGCTCCAAGAACTCCTCGTCTGTGTAGCTCAGCTGAACCTTTGAGAGTTGGGCGACTGCTTTCCTCATGTCGTGGAACAGCATGGGAGCCGTCGAGGTTACATCGGAGAAGACCAGCTGATTCATGCCGTAGTCCATCTGAAAGCTCTTTCGGATGTGAGCTTCCATGCTTTTGCGGGTAGGGAACTTCGAGTCTGGATGGAACTGATCCATTTTCGTCACTACTACCACGATGTGGTCGTAGGCCTCCTTCTTGAGGATCTTCGCAACTTCATAGAAATCTCCTCCCATGTTGTTGCGGATGCGTGGGTTGTACTCCACCGCTACAAATACACCGTTCAGAGGCTCACATGTTAGACCATGGCGAAGCACATAGCTGTGCGCGTAAGTGTCCTCTTTGCTGTTGCAACCTGGCCCATCGTACAGGACCATCGACATATCATCGTAAAAGACCTTTTTGCTCACAAACTGCCGTGTACAGGAATCGTCAGTGATGTCGGCATCACGATTGGCATCACAGACCTGAGTCGGGGCAACTGCAGCCGCACAGGTTCAGAAGCAATGGAACTATTAACAACTTATTCCCTCCTGGAATTGCGGGTCCGTGGAGAGAGGAAATTTCGCTTCCTGCTTTCAACCCCAACTGTGCCTGCTCTGAATATAACTGCACCTTGCTTTCGGCGACTTGGCCTAACCCATCTGGGATCCCAATGAGAAAGCAAGGTTGGGTTCAGGGTTAAGGGACTATATAGGGACCCTCTACCCTAAACCCTTAACCACAGGGCTCATTCGAGCACGTGGACCTTGTTGAAAATCGTGGTCTTCCCTGCCCCCACTTTCCCAATCAGGATGGCTGTTGGATCCTGTCAGGGTCTAGGGTGTAGGGTCCTGGTGGGCGAAGACCATCCGACAGCTCGAGTGTGTGCTGGTTCTGGTGTAATTAGTATGAAGGCCTTTGCAGCTCGAGTATGTTTGGTTTTGGCAGAAGGTGAAGCTTTTTGGGCTCGGGGCTTGGGGCATAGGGGTTTGAGGATGCCCGCTCAATTTAATCGTCCGCCACATGCACCAATAAACCTAGATGTGCCCCTGTTAAACATGTTGAGCCAACGTAGGACAGGTTGCCAGACGAACTTAGCGAAGAACCGGCGACTCTTGATATTCTCAGAAGCGATGACCCAGACCACGGCAGGTAGGTACGACGTCATATCTAATACATGATCCCCGGGGCGATCGGAGATAAAGCCCTAAACCCTGAATCCCTAAACTTTTTCTGCAGAGTTATTGTGGTATCATAGACATAATCTGTCGGTAATGCATTATGGCAAGTTCTAAACCCTCACATTCCGATCATGCCGGTTGAAGTAGTCAGCAGTCCTTGCCAGAACTAATTGCCAGGTTCTGTGCGAATTATACATCAGTTCTGATTCTGTTTAAGAGGGTTTAGCAGTCGCATGTTCGGATTTGCATTCAGGCTGCCCGCTAAGACACCGAGTTCTTCTCTCAACATAAGCGGCACCGTTAAGACAGAAACAGGCAAGATAGAGGAGACACAAAGAGGAGAGATAGCCAGCCAGCCAGACTTAAGGCTTAGCAAGAGCCCCTGTACTGCTACTGTACTACTACTGACTATTTCTGTACCAGCGCCCACTAAACAAGTTAGACCCCAAACAACTATCCAGAGGCGAATAAACACGACCCCGACCACTATGCCGGATTCGGGAGATGTTCACGACGGGGGGGTTATTAACCAGGAGACCACTTTACCACCATAAACTCAACATGCGCTCCACGGCAATGGCGTCCTCCACTCTGGCTGCCATGTCTGCCCCAAGAGGCTGAAGCTATAACGTCACGGCTGGTGCGTCACGCTTAGAGAGCAACTTCGAGCCCGAAAACGGCATGAATTCAGGGTACGGCGGTACGGTTTACGCAGGGATCAAACGAAAGGCCATCAGAGAATGTTTTTCAGGCCACATGCTACATAGAGACTGTAACAGGGTTTTGGGCGGTACTGATTATGATGAGCCCTAGAACGTTGAAACAGGGATTTAAGATGATTAATGCTGGCATTCCGTATAGAACCTTGGCTTAAGGGCATGAGGATAAGAATGTCCCAACTTTCTGGCGACAGCAAGAGGATGCGAGAGGTTGATGGTTTAGGCTTCAGGATTTAGGTTTTAGGTTTTCAGGGCCCCGAGAAAACCAATGTTGAGCATGTCTCCATGTTAACTACCTACACCCTAAAGGTCCAAGTACCTAATAATCATAAACTCCCCCCAGTAGTCACCTACATAACTACTATCCGAAACCTAAGTACCTGATTATTGGGTCCTTTGGACCCTTGGGGACATCGTTCATGTGCAGACCTCGTAAGCTCATTTACGACCGGATTGCCATCTAACCAACTTAGGCTTCTGCAAGGCATCGATAGGACTGTAGTAAGATCTCAGTAAAGGGATGGTCCTTCGTCCCAAATTCTAGAGCCCAAACTTGGGTTTAGGCCTGGGTTGAGGGCTTAGGACACCCCTGATTTCTGGCAAAACTAACGAGCCGACACCCTATACCCTAAACTCTAAACCGCGGGGATACAAATCACGGGGACTCACATCTTGCATGCCCAAGTCAGGAAATGACATCTCAGACTATCACGCATGGAGACCTTAGGTTGTGGCAGTCATGTGTTTTAGGGATTTAGGGCTTAGAGTTTGAGTCTACAATTTTGGGCTTCGGGCCTATAAACACTCCACTCAGGTTGCAGGGGGCTTGCGCCCTTGGGTTGTACCCTGTGTTCTGGGCGGCATGTAGGGTAGGGGCAATGCAGCCCTGCAGCCCTTGAAGATCTTGAGTTCTAACCCCTGAGCCCTACAAGTGTGAACCCTCTCAAGCTTTCTGTAAACCAGAACCCCTAACCCTAGAAACCCTGAAACCCTGAAGCCCTAAACTTAAGCCCGAAACCAAAAACCCTAAACCGAAACCTGAACCCTCTCTTCAAGGCCTTCGTCCTCATCCGTGGCGGTCTTGTTCATGACATTTGCGGCGTTCGGATCCTGCTCCGGGCTCTGGTGATCCTCGGATGCGCACCCATCCGAGGCGGTTTAGGGTTTAGTTTAGGGTCCCTTTGAGGGGTCCTTTCCAGGGCCCCTCTAAGGGCCCCTTTAAGAGGTGCTTAGCGGCTTAGGGCTGAGGGTTACCATACTAGGAGGTTACTATAGCGACCCTACTCCCTGTTGGAGCTAAGCCAAAAGCTTTTCTGGAGACCCAGTGCGAAAGAAACCATAAACCAAATACGGAACAATCCGAAAGCGTAACCAAGAAATTCAAAGCTGCAGGCTTCCTATATACTGGCTTTATCAGATTTACTCTTAAGACTCAGGTTTATGTTGTTTTAAGGTCTAGGTTTTCAGGTCTTGGGGTTCATGGCCTACACAGCATTTAAGATGAAATTCCAGATGTATTAGAGGCTTGGGCGTAGGAGTTTGGGTTTGGGGTTTGAGGGCAATGTAGGAACCTGATTAAGAAACCCTGGTCCTTTTTCCCCAAAACTAGTAGGGTTCATATAAAGAACACACATGGTTTATTCGTATCCCTAAGGGTCCAAGTACCTAAGAATCATATATTCTTCTCAATACTAACCTACTTACTATCCGTAACCCAAGTACCTGATTATCGGGTCCTTTGAGCCCTTACACCTCTTTTGAAACCCTACAAACCCTTATTGATTATACTTCCCTTATGGAACTTTTACAGAACTCCGTATTCCGAGGTTCTTTGGACCCTTAGGGTATGGGTCTGGTGATTAAGGCTTTAAGACCGATGCCCAGCACCCTGGTAGGCTCGGCCTGCTTGGGCAACTGCAGCTTTTGAGGGAAACTAAAGCGAAGCAAAAGGGGTTTAGGGCCAGTTCAGGGTTTTAGGGTTTAGGGCTTTTTTTGTTTTTAAGGGTTTAGAGTTTGGAGCTTCGGTCTAGGAATCCGGGTTGAGGGTTGAACAAACGCCCTCAAACCCCGCGATCCACAAAATGTGGCCTGCAGTCCATAGTGTCTCAAAACAAACCTTCGAAGTTCAGAGCGAGCAGGTGTCTCCCTAAGGGTCCATGTACTCAAATAGTGTATTCTTTGTCCTCAAAGTCTACTTTAAGGCCAAAGTATATACTAAACCCCCTAAACCCTAAACCCTAAACCCTAAACCCTAAGCCCTAAACCCTAAACTCTATACTATTTTGGTGCATGGACCTCTTAGGGCCTTGGCCTTGGGAGTAGGAGCCGGCTTTGCAGCCGCGGGGCAGCCTTCGGCTCTGTCCGCTGTCTTACTTGTCCAGTATCCTAGGGGGACCGAAGGTTTGCCAGGGTTTAGGGTTTAGAATTTAGGGTTTAGGGCTTAAGGTTTAGGGTTTAGGGATTATCTATGGCATATAGGGATTATAGTAGCCGAACAACTTTAAAGGTCACTCACTCTACTACTTATCTTCCGTTTCGCCGAGGGCAGACTGGATCCTGTCTGTAGTCATCGTTGCCCGCAAAAGTCGCCTTTCCTGCACCCGGAAGCACCGGCGCAGCTTCCGTGCACGCAAGGCAGCTTTAAGGCTTTACGCGATTTCTGTAGGGGCCTGAATGATTACCAATACTATTTTGAGGGTTCCTTATTATAATTATAGTATGATGGGCCAATAATGGGCCCCAAAACCCTATTCTAATTATTCAGGCCCCTATATTAGGCTTCATAGCCCACACCGTCCGCCTCGATTTGGCTGCGGATGTACTGCCTGAGCCTTGGCCTAAGCAATCTCTTGAGGCAGGCTACTTGGAGGCCCAGGGGATTTAGTAAGTAGGGTTAGAGTTATAAGTACCCTAAATGGAGTTACCCCAATTATAACCCTACTTATAACCGACTTCCTAAGTCCCCTGGGCCTCCAAGTAGGTGTGTTTCATTCGAGGCCACCAAGATGACCTTCACACCTATGCTCAGGGCCGTCAAACCCTCAGCGCTACTACCGGAATCAATGAGTGTTCATGTTATCGGGGGTGCAAGCACCCAATAAACCAGCGAATTATCCCTAAACCCAAGCCCTTTACCTACTTGCTGCTAAGCTCCTGCAGCCTTCCGAAACTTCCCTGAACCCTCAACCCTGAATCCTGAAACCCTGAACTCTTAAACTAAACCCTACATGCTATGCGACCCCCCACATTTTTGTTGAGGCCCCCGCGTACACGAAGTTCCGCTGCTTGTGGTTGAGCTTGCTCAGGAGGGCTATCCTGCAGCTGCTTGGGGTTTAGGGTTTAGGCTTTATGCTTTGGTAATATGGGTTTAGGGTTTAGGGTTTAGGGTTTAGGGTTTAGGGTTTAGGGTTTAGGGTTTAGGGTTTAGGGTTTAGGGGGGCTTAGCTGTAGCCACAAAAAAAGCAGAGATTCAAGGAAACGAAGAAGGAGATCGTAAGAAGCAGCCTAAATAAGGTAGGCTATATGGCAGTTTCCGAAAATAAGGGGTATCCCATTTTGGGGGCCTTATAATGAGGATCCTACTATTTGGGGTACTATTTTGGGGTCCCCTATTTTCGGAAACCCCTATACTAGAGTTAGTAAGTTGATAGAACTAACCTAGCCCTGCAGCCATGAACAAAGAAACTCCATGCAACTGCACAAGCCCAATGCTAAACGAATAGCCCTACATGCAAACTCAAAGTCCAACAACCAAAACCCTAAGCCCTTTACCCAAATTGCTACAGCCGTAAATTCCCAAAAAAACGCAAACCACAGCAGCCCAGACCCAAAGCAAACCCCTGCCTAAAGCGCTGTGCTTGGTTCTTGCCACCGGTGAGGTTGAAGGCTTCCTGAAGCATCACTTCGAGCTTGCGAGCAAGCCTAAACCCCCTAAACTAAACTCCCTAAACCCTGAAACACCTAAAACCCTTAACAACATAAACCCCCTAAACTCCCTAAACCCTAAACCCCCTAAACCCTAAACCCCCCAAACCCTAAACCCCCCTAAACCCTAAACCCCCTACACCCTAAAACCCCTAAACCCTAAAACCCCTAAACCCACACATATATCATATATAGACTTAAGATTCCGTAGAGCTCTCGGGCCCTTGGAGTTCTTAGCTCCATTCCCCTACAGGAGTTCTCCCGAAGCACAAGCACCTTAAATATGCCGCTCTATATAGCACCCTACAAAGCCACTCTAACGCAAGATCTCATGGAACCGTCGTGGCAAGCTTATACCCAGAGACTCCAAAGCCCCCTAACTCGGCAAGATACCTGGAATTATCGAGGCAACCCTAAATTCAGGTATGTACCCCAAACCCTAAACCCTAATGCCTACACACTAAAATGGCGGAACCCTGACATGACTGATATGAAGTTGAGTTTATGTAACGTTTATACCTTCAAAATAGGGATTGTTGGAGTCTCTCGGTGGAATCGCTGTAGGCTTTGAAGTTAGGGTTTGGGGTTTAGGGCTTTAGAGTTTAAGGTTGAGACCTTGCCCCTGAGAATCACACCCATGCTAAGGCCAAAAGCACTGACTATTGGGTCCCTTCTACACGGGGGGTCATAGAACCCGAAAGAACACCATCCATATGCCGTGAAAGAGCTCTGCATTGACACGTATAGCACCACTAAAGAACCTCTGTCATCCTCCATGAAGTCACTCTTCATTTCTATAGAGCCTTAAACCCTCTGCCAACAACACGAAAGCCTAAACCGCAGAAACTGAAGAAACCGTGGAACCCCTTATACCTTACCTTACAACCTCTTCAGAAACCGTCGAACCCTTATAATTTATGGAAACTTAGCCCTAGACCCCAGACCATAAACCCTAACCC